CCTCCGATCTCCTCTTCCTACTTCCCCTGGGGGTGGGGAGGGCTGTGTGTGTGGGGGTGTCACTTCCATCTTACCCTTAGCCCTTCACCATAGTTGCTTCACCACATCGCTCTTAGTGAAGCCCTGGACATGTTTTCAACTTCATTGCACTTGTAGCAATGGGACTTTTCACCCAGCAGCCGTTGCCTCTGCTTTCATCTTCCAGAAGCATGTATCTTTTTCATGGTTTGTCCAGCAATCTAGGGTGTCCTTCAGAAGCCTTTGCTTCTCTCCTTTGTATCTATTCCTTGTCCCATGGCATCATAGGAGTGTAAATCCCTTTCCTACAAGTACATATACCTTCCTGCCTTCTTCCTCTGAACTTTATAGTTGGAGGTGGGGGAGAGAAAATGAAGAATGGCTCAAGAAATTGACTCTTAATCCTACTTGTTTCATTTTTTAAGAAAATATACTAAGTTTTTAGTTCAAATTGCAATGTTATCAGCATGAAGTTGTCATAGCTGATGACTGAAATGTGCCTAGGAGACTCTGGAATGCAGATTTCCAGCAGGAAGTAAACATACACATACTTGGCTAAAATCATGTCTACCACACAATCACAATTAGAGGAGTCCAGATATCACAAGTTGGGGTGGAGGGAGGGAGGGAGAGAGAGACAGAGAGAGACAGAGAGAGAGAGAGAGACAGAGACAGAGACAGAGAGAGACAGAGACAGAGAGAAAGAGAGAGAGAAAGGGAGGGAGGGAGATAGAGAGATACACATAGACAGAGACACTAAGAGAGTCAGAGAAAGGGAGAGACATACAAACACACACAGAAACAGAGAAACAGAGACACAAAGAGATACAGAGAGATACACAAAGAGACATAGAGGGATAGAGACAGAGAAATGGAGAGAAATAGACAGAGAGACACAGAGAGGGAAAGAGACGCACAGAGAGATCAACAGAGACAGAAAGAGAAACAGAAGAGAGAGACACAGAGAAATAGAAACACACACACAGACATAGATAGGGACACAGTGAGACGGAGGGACATATAAAGAGACAGACAGACAGAGATCACAGGCAGGCATCTAAGCATCCAGTGAGTTACTGAGTGGTACAGCTAGAATTGTAATCTTAGCAGTAGCCACTCCCTACCCCAGTTCCATACCTCATCACATTGAATGGAAGCATTCCGGCTCTTATTTTCTAGCATCATAAACAATTCTGATGCTGGCTATCTGACCTGTAGGTTTTCTTAGCTTGATACAAGTGCAATTCTATGTTAGTTATGGCTTTCACTAAATATCTATGGATTTCTTTATTTCTTGACTACTGCTTACATTCCCAAGGCCAGGCCACTTCCCTGTTATCAATTCAATTCAATCAACATTCATTAAGTGCCTGCTACATACAAGGTAATGTGGTAGGTGTTGAATACAGAGAGATTAAGAACCTTAAAGAGTTTATGATCTGACATCTGCATTCTGGTATTGGTTCTGCCATAAACCCACTTTGTGACCTTTGCCAAATCATTTAATCTCTTGGCCTCAGTTTTCCAATCTTTAAAATGAATAGATTGGATTAGATAAACTCTAAGGTCCATTCTAACATTTTATGTATTCATATTTTTGGGTCCAAGTATGAAAAATGTAGTAAAATCTTTAAGTAAGTAATAAATAAGAACTTAAAAAAAAAAAGCCTTAGACCTGAGGTCTAGAGATGGGCTGCTTTGACCAGACCAGACATGTAAGTGAAAAGGACTCTCTATTGAAGCCTTAGGTATCTTAGCCTTTAATCTTTCCTAGTCAGTTGAATAATTCTTTATGCTTTGTGGGTGCTTTCATTTTACAATCGACTGTTGTTTCAAGTCTTTGCAGAGAATGTTAATTTTTACTTTCCCTACTCTGGGGCAGCTCTAAGAGGATGTGGGTAGAGAAGAAACCAGAAAAAAAGAAAGAAAAGAAAAAGAAAAGACCTCACACTCTTGCTTCTTTTCTGAGTGACCCAGGGCATGATGCTCAATCTCTTCAAGCCTCCATTCTTTTCTTCCTCAAATGACAACAATGCTCCTATCACAGGATTTTGGAGCTGGATGGCTACTTGGAGATCATCTGGTCTGTTGTTCTTCATTTCATAAATTGGAAAACTGAGGCCAGAGAGACTTTCCAAAAGTCATGCAGTAAGTTTGTAACAGAGCCCTCCATCCACTATGTCATATTATCCCCTTGCAAACTTGAGAGCAAAATGGAGAAGGCAGTTACTATTTTTATGCCTAGTGGTTACCTAGATAGTAGGAAAGCAAGTACTTGAACACCGATCCTCTGATTCCTGGTCCAGTGTTATTTCTTCTATAACACCTTGCTTTTCATGTTCTCAGGGCTATCATGAGCATTAAAAGTTTTTTTTTTTGAAGTATTAGAAACGCACAATAATAAGCAATTTCAGTTCTTGATGAAATGTGTGGCTCCAATGCAAAATGAAAGCTTCTATCAATCCTATTAACTAAAAGGAAACCAAACCATAGACAGTCACATACCACCCTGGAACCAGGCCTGCTTGGGAGAAGGAAACATAGTCTTTTCTAAATCCTAAACTAAAGCAACAAGGAAAGGAAGCCTCATTTTTCTTCTTCTCCTTCTCCTCCTCCTCCTCCTCCTCCTTCTTCTCCTCCTTCTCTTCCTCTTCTCCTCCTCCTCCTCCTTCTTCTCCTCCTCCTTTTTCTTCTCCTCTTCCTCCTCCTCCTTTTTCTTCTCCTCCTTCTCCTCCTCCTCCTCTTCTTCTTCTTCTTCTCCTCCTCTTCTTCTTCTTCTTCTCCTCCTCCTCCTCCTTTTTCTTCTCCTTCTCCTTCTCCTCCTCCTCCTTCTCCTTCTCCTCCTCCTCCTCCTCCTCCTCCTCCTCCTCTTCTTCTTCTTCTTCTTCTTCTTCTTCTTCTCTTCTTCTTCTTCTTCTTCTTCTTCTTCTTCTTCTTCTTCTTCTTCTTCTCCTCCTCCTCCTCCTCCTCCTCCTCCTCCTCCTTCTTCTCCTTCTCCTTCTCCTTCTTTTCCTCCTCCTCCTCCTCATCCTGATGCTGACATACCAGGTAGTAAAGCTGAAAAATTAAGCAAATTAATATTGTTTCACAGTAATATACATAGCACCAGTTGATATTTTAAAACAAATTTCATTATATAGCACTTGAAACACCTTTGAATCCATCTCAGTTTAGTTGAAGATATGAAGAACAAATCTGGGCAAAAATATTTTTCCTAGACAAAAAGCCTCATTTACCTTCAAAGAGCATAATGTATGATGTAGGATAATTTAAAAAAACCCCCAAAAGTTCAAGACCTTCTACTCAACTAAGAATAGCAACATTTATGCAAATACTTAAATTAGAAAAATAACTTCTGAGGGGAAAAACCCAATCAAGACAATACATGCAGTATACTCCTTCTCACTATTTATCGCATTAGGCAGATGAGATTGATGCAGATACAAATGGTACCCTAGGGATTAAGCAGAATTTTAAGGGTTGCCTTAAAGGAGGCCCCTCCTGAGCTTGAGGGCATCTTAAAATCTCTTCCCTTTTTCTTGAAATACCATAAAACTTCCCCTTTTCCTGGATCATAAAATTCCTTGTCTCCCTCATCCTGAGTCATAAAATTTCCCATCTTCCTTTTCCTGGGTCCCCTATCCTGCATTACATCTTCCTCATCCTGTGTCATGACAATTCATTACAAATCTTTGTAAGCAACCATCTTCCTCATCCTGTCCCTAATCTTCAACCCCCATAAGAAACCCTAAAATTACATCATCATAGTACAGGATGTATAGCTTTCTATTTATATAAGCCTGATTCTTCCAAATATCAGAGCCTTTCATTAGCTTCTTGCTAATCTCAGGCCTGTGAAACTTTCTTGTAATAAAGCATCCCCACTGTCTAAGAGAAAGTCATCTAAGTGAATTCTTTCTCACCCAAACCTCTCTCTCAAATCTGACCTCAATAAGATGAGTCTCTGTTACATCTATTTCAATTCAAGCATTTATTAAGCACCTACTGTGTGTCCAAGGTATTTTGCCCAGAATATGAAGACAAAAGTGAAGGGAGTCCTGACTTTCAAGGTGCCTTGCATTCTCCTGGGAGTAAACAACAGGTACACATATAAGTAAATAGAAATGCATACAAAGTAATTTTGATGTGGGCAATGAGATCACTAATAAGTAGAGGGATCAGGAAGGGCTTCATATAGGAAATTGCTCTTGAGCTGAGACTTGAATGAAGCTAGGGATTCCAAGAGGCAGAGGTAGGAGGGAAGGAGAGAGAGAGAGAGAGAGAGAGAGAGAGAGAGAGAGAGAGAGAGAGAGAGAGAGAGAGAGAGAGAGAGAGGAGAGGGAAGGATTCTGAGCATGGCAGACAGCATGAGATGGAATGTCATACACTGGGGAAAAGCAGGTAGACCAATTAGGCTAGAATATAGGGTACTTAATGGGAGAGTAGTGTGTAATAAACCTAGAAATATAGATTGAAGCTGAAACTCTTTAAATGTCAGGCAGTGGAGTTTGTAATTTAACCAGCAAGAGAGAACCACTCAAAGCCTCTTAAGCAAGGAAGTTAACTTGTTCAAACCCATTGCTTTAGAAATATAAATTTAACAGCTTATATAGAGATGGATTGTAAGGCAGAGATCAGATGAACCTTTTCAGGCATGTATTATCCAGGACAAACATATGTCATTCACTGTATATCTGTTTGCTTTGTATTCCTTGGCTTGGCTTTATTGTATAAATTCTTGCCTGACAGCTAGAGCTGATTGCATTGTGACTGAGATTAAATGAAGAAAATTTCTTTCTCTCTTAAGATAAATGGTATCCTGGAAAGCTTAGGGGGTAGCCTGAGTTTGTTCTTCTTCAGTGGAGAATGGGTATCTTCTGAAGGAAGAAGGGACCGGCATCCTTTGCTTCCATTTTTTTCTTGTGATGGTAGAGATGTCAGAAGTATTACGTGATAATAGCACATACCTCACAGGATAGTTATGGGGATCAAATGAGATAGCACCTGGAAAGGGAAACATTATGTAAATGCCAGTGATTATTAGTATTTGACTCTAATGTTTCTCTATAATGCAAAGAAAATAGCATGGTAATATGTCCAATATTTCTTCCACTCCATTTTTTGGGGGAACAGAAGGAAGGTATCTGTGCCATGTGTTGAGTTGGGGTTGGGAGGTGGAGATGAAAGAATGTATTTGCATTTTTCTTGGAAATCCTTTGATCCTCAATAAATATTTGTTGAATTGAATTTAATGCTGAGTAACATATATAATCACTAAAATCAGAACCTGAGTGGATATTGCAGGTTGTCTTAACACAGAATCACAGAATCCTAGGCTGGAAATGAACTTGAGAGTTCATCTGGTCCATTTCTCACATTTTACAGACCAGGAAATGGAGGCTCAGAGATGGACAGTGACTTGCCCAAGGTCACAAAGCTACTTAATGAGAGAGTTGCAACTAGAACCCAGGATTTTGTGTTCCCCAGGATGATTCTTTATGTGTTCAAACCACAGCTACTCCTCTTGATGAATGTTGAATATTATGGAGAGATGAGTAAGACATGATGGAAAGTGAATACAGATGTATTCTTAATATCATCATGATATTTCTTCTTTTTCTTCCCCAGGTTTTGGAGGCGCTCTAGGTTACCTTTTGGGTGCTATAGACTGGGGACATTTGGAACTGGGAAGATTGCTGGGCACAGAATTTCAGGTCATGTTCTTCTTCTCAGCTCTGGTGTTTACCACCTGTCTCATCATACACTTGTGCAGCATCCCTGAAGCACCTCTTTGTGATAACCAAGAAGACAGCATGCTGCAGCACAACCCACAGGGCCCTCTGCTGATGCAAAATGGAGGCTATACCTATGGTTCTCTAGAGAAAGTCAAAAATACTTATATGAAAACAGAGCAGACTGAACTAGGCACAGCAAAACTGGGAGAAGCCAAGGGAAATAATGAGGAGCAGGTGAGGATGGATGTCCTCTTTTGTTTTAAACTGTGTTTTCTTTTCACTGGCCCTTCTACTTTTCTCTCTAGATGTAAAAAAGTTTATAAAGCCAAATGGGAACCTACAATGTCTTGTTATTTGGTACGAAATTGGTCAGCTGCGATCCTTGTCCTTTCCTGGATTAAAAATTGCCCAACTGAGTGAAAGTAGTGGCAATTTATCAACCGTAGTTTTTCCTTTGGCCATCATATTTCTTTCCTGCTCTAACACTATTATAAAAAGCTCTGGTTTGGGGGGCAACAGGGAAGGTGGTAATAGCTTTGAATGGCAAGATTAGGGAGAAGGCAGCATGGCTTAGAAGAGAGGGAAGAGGACAAGCCTTTATTAAAGGGCCTGGCTCATTTGATGCTCACAACAACCCTGGGAGGGAGGTGCTATCATTATCTCCATTTTACAGTTGAAGAAACTGAGGCAGGCAGAGGCTAAATGACTTGCCCAGGATCACACAGCTAGTAAGTGTTTGAGACCAGTTTTGAACTCATGTCTTTATGACTCCAGGCCCAGTGTTTGTCCTAAGGGTCTATAAGTAAATATAAGATTTGAAGAAGGAACAAACCCTAACAACTAGGGGTCAAGAAAGGTTTTAATGGAAGAGACAGAACCTGAGTTGTAGTTTGAAGAGAACTAAGGAACTATCCTATGTTCAAGCCCTTGTTATTTCTTGCTCGGACTATTGCAATAACTTTCTAATGGAGCTCTAAGAACACATCCTCTACAGTGTATAGAGTCTACATGGTTCTGGAATCTTAAGTCACAGGTGTGGTGATATCACTCCCTGCTCAAGAAACGTCTGATGCTTCTAGGATAAAATACAAACTCCTCTGGCAGTTCAAATTCAGCTTCAGATGCTTACTAGCTGTGGGACCCTGGGCAAGTCACTTAACTGCTCTCTGCCCCAGTTTTCTGATTTGTAAAATGGGGATTATAACAACAACTACTCCTGGGATTGTCATAAGGAAAAAAATGCCCTCCACTTCCAGTCTCACTTTCTCAGATAATGACTCATTATTCCATATTATGTAGTCTTTCTTTAAAAAAAAAATTAAGTTACTGTTAATTTAAAAAACAAACAACAATCACACATTTCTCAAGCCATAAAGAATTAATAAGACCCTGCAAGAAAAGAATCTTGACTTTTACTAAGTGCTGTATTTTGTTTAAATATATATTTAAATATGCATGTAAGTACATATACACATATGCATATGTATGCATACACATGTATCTGTACTTATCTGGGGAGTAACATACTGCTCTATTTTTGATCCCTAGCTGGGATAATGCAGGGAATATGAGCCTGGAGTAAGGAAGACCTGAGTTCAAATCTGGCTTCAGACACATGCTTGTCCATGACCCTGGGCAAGTCATGTATACTTTATTTGCCTCAGTTTTGTCAACTGTAAAATGGGGGTAATAACAGCATCTACCTCACAGAGTTGTTGTGAAGATCAGATGAGATAATATTTGTAAAGCATTTAGCAAAATGCCTGGTACATAGTTGGCATTATATAAATGCTTATTCCCTTCCTTTCCCTTTCCTTCCCTCATATCTCACACTCACAAACAATCCAACTTTCCTGCCCCTCCAAGTAGAATAAAAATACATACAGTTAGCGTTAGGTCAGGAAAACGAGTTCGAATTGAGCTTCAGATATTTACTAGCAGTGGGACCCTAGTCAAAGTATGTAACCATTCTTTATCTCAGTTTCCTCATCTGTAAAATGGGGATTATAATAGCAATTACCTCCCAGGATTGTTGTGAGGAAAAAATGAGATTGTTGTGAGGAAAAAATGAGACACTACTTTAAAAATTCTCTGCAAACCTTAAAGTGTCATATAAATGTTAGCTATTTTCATTATCAGCTGGTACAGTGAGTAGAGCACTGGGTCTGGAGTCAGTCAGATCTGAGTTCAAAGTTGGCCTCAGGAACTCATTGGCTGTGGGACGCCAGGCCAGTCACTTCACCTTATTTGTCTTACTTTCTCATCTGTCAAACAGGGATACACTGGAGATGGAAATGGCGAACCATTCCAGTATCTTTGCCAAGAAGACTGAAATAGCAACAACAACAATTATCATTATCACTGTTGCTTTAGCCAAAACAAATCAAGATAATGAAAATGCGTCTTGATCTTTACCTCTAGCCCATCACCACTCGATCCAAAGCATGTACTCTCTACTTTTCATGTGACTTGGCCTACTTTCTTCTCTCTGTACGCCAGTGGTGTCAAACTCAACTAGAAACAGAAGCCATTAATCTATACGTGAGGATCTCCGCAGGCAGCATATTGATTTAATTTTAAAATGTGATATTATCTATGTTCTGTTATATTTTATCTATCTTGCTAAATATTTCTCATTTATATTCTAATTGGGCCAGCCACACTCAGGACTGTTGTGGGTGGCATGTTGGATGTTTGGGCTATATGTGACATTCCAATCCTTGGCTCCATGCTTTTAAAGAGACCATTTCCCATTCCTGGAATATTCTTCACATCTGCCCTTGGAACTCCTAGCTACCTTCAAAGTTCAGTACATGTGGCAGTCCAGATTCTCCTGGCTGCTAGCATTCTGTATACATAAGGATCCCTGCAGGCAGCATGTTGATTTAATTTTAAAATGTGATATTATCTATGTTCTATTGTATTGTATTATATTTTGTTAAATATTTCTTATTTATATTCTAATTGGGGCTGAGCCCTACTCATGCCCCTCCATTACTTTGTAGTTCTTTTGTGTATCTTGTATTTACCTATCTGTGTATATGTTGTATGTATCCCGCCAGTAAAATGCAATTTCCTTGAAGGCAGTGCCTAGCACAGTGTCTAAGACATAATTGTTGTTCAGTTTTGTCTGATTCTTCCTGACCCCATCTGAGGTTTTCTTGGCAAAGATACCGGAGTGGTTTGCCATTTCCTTCTCCAGTTCATTTTACAGATGAGGAACTTAAGCAAATGGGGATAAGTCAATTGCCCAGGATCATACAGCTAGTGAGTGTCTGAGGCCAGATCTGAACTCAGAAAGATGAATTTTCTTGACTTTAGCCCCTGGATTTTACCCATTGCATCACTTAACTGCCCCTGAGATGTAATAGTAGCTACTAAATAAGTGTTTGTGGCTTCATTGATTGAATGATAGGTGGGGGTAAGGAGGAAGTGGATTCTGGACATATAGGACAGACTGAACAAAAAAAAAGGGGAGTAGGAAGTAAAATTCTGTTATTAGGAAATACCAAGGATGCCAGTTTGGTGGGAACATGGAATATGCAAAGGGTAGTATCGGGAAATACGTCTGACAAAGGAGGCTAGAGCCAGATCATTAAGGGCCTTTGATGCTAAGCTGAATACTTTATATTTTATTATAGAAGCAGCAGTGAGCCACTGAAGATTCTTGAGAAGGAATGTGAGATGATTAGACGTGTGTGCTCTAAGAAAAGTATTTGGACAGATGTGTAGAAGATGGGTTGGAAAGGAGAGATCCTTGAAACAGAAACCACTTAGCATTGTCCAGTTGAGAGGCGATGAGTGCCCTGACTAGGGTAGGCTGTGTATGTAGGCAAAAAGATATGCTGGCGGAAGAATTGGCAAATGATTAGATGCTTGTTGTAAAGGAGAGGAAAGATAGGGGCATGACTCTGAGATGGTGAGCCAGCAAGTTTGGAGGTGGGGTGGGCTTGGTCTGAGGAGATCATGGATGCGTTGAGTTTGAGATGCCCTGGGGACATCCAGGGGATGATTTCTAGCAGGTCAAAGCTTAGGAGAGAGACTAGAGCTGGGTATGCTGTATTTTATGAATCGCAATGGCATCTATATACATTTGAAAACTTTTATTGTTCTTGTTCAGTCCTGTCCAACTCTTCGTGACCCAGTTTGTGGTTTTCTTGGCAAAGATACTAGAGAGGTTTTCCATTTCCTTCTCTGGTGGACTAAGATAAACAGAGGTTGAGTGACTTACTCAGGGCCACATTTGAACTCAGATCATCCTGACTTCAAGCCCAGGCTCTGTCCACTGAGCAACCTAGCTGCCTATACATTTGAAAAATAGACATTTTTTATTTAGCTTACAGAAGATATATTTGCTTTTTTTTATATTACTGTGCCGAGGTATATATTTTGTTGGAGTTAAATAAGGCTTAAAATGGCAATGCTTGGTAAAATAAAAAAAAAGGCAAATAGAGGTCAGTCAGTACCTTGGTTATGGCAGAAATAAAAACATTGCCCCATCAATGAGATTGCTGCAAGTTTCCCCTTGTTCTTTATACTTTCTAGAAATGACATCATTAGTTGGCGTTCTTGACCAGCAGAAACGACTGAACAATAACAGCAACAACAATGACACTGTACCAATGGAAGTTAATTCATTCAAAATCACATAAAGCAATTAAGGAGACCTTAATCAAGTGCATACTGTTTACACACACACACACACACTCACACTCACATTGGCTGTGATGGACTGGGATGCTTTTGTATCATCTACATTTAAAAGAGCAGGACAACACATCTTTGGCCAAATGCCATAAGCTTTGGCTTCCAAAATAGAACTCCTGAGAAAGTCGAATTATTACCATATGGGAACCATGAGCCCAGAGCAATTATTTTTTAAAGCAGGTATTTTTTTTCACAACAAGAGTGTCTGTGTCATTTGAAAATCATGATCCCTTGCTTTAGAGTGGGGTCCTGAATTTTTTGAAGGTTCCTGCTAGATACCTTTAAATTTTATCTCCAATCTTAAATGTCCTTATCCAGCTCTTCAGTTTCAGGAGTGTGTGTGTGTGTGTGTGTGTGTGTGTGTGTGTGTGTGTGTGTGCTACATTCCCTTTTATTCCTGATACCCTGGGCTGGTCCATATAGAAGCCATTGCAACCTTCTTCAGACAGTGATTAGCAGTCTTTGTGAGACTTTAAAAGGTGCTGAAAACCATTGTAAAACCTCTTGTGGCTTTATCAAGGAAATTAGGGAACTAGTGAGAAAAGGGCAATTTCATTTTCATTTTCATTTTGAAAACCCAAAGGGAAGCTGAGAATTTTCATCCCTGACTCAGTGAAATAACAAGTCTAATTTGAAAGCTCATGTGGGTTTAAGAACAAAAGCAGAAATAGGTCTGGGAGAGAGCAAGGAAGTGGGCTGAATATTGTGCCTGAGACAGAGGCCTAAATTAATGACTGAAGAGGAAAGGAACACCTGTTGTCCAGTTTTAATCTTTAATATGTGCATTAATTGAGGAAAGGAGCTGGTTGTCCCTCATTTCATCTTGTGTAATTCTTACCCATCTTCTAAAGCTCAACTCAGGTATCACCTCCTTCACAGGCCTTCCTTGATCTATACCCTTAGTAATGAACTTCTCCCTTAGACTTCAGATAGCACTTTACATTGCATCTCTTTAATGTACCTGATCATGTGACCATTTCCATTATATCACCTATGCATGTGTCATCTCCCCGTACTACACTATTAATTCCATGAAGGCAGGAAGTATCTTCTCCAAATCTTGTATCTCCCCTTAGGGTCTTCTCCAAGTAAGCTCAGGGTACAAGCTGGATGAAGGAGTGTATGGATAGAAAAGGATTAGTTGGGATTCTCATGCCCAGGCTGTTCTTCCTCAATCTGAAAGCTTCCTTGAAATTCAGTTTTTCTCTTTTATAATATGAACCAAGATAATTTCTGAGTTTCCAGCTCTAACATTTTATAATTGATTATTATCTCCTCTATTTTCCCTTCTTCTTCTCATCTGAACAGGGATTTATCCTGGGGCTTATAAATACAAATGTGTTAACTTGTGGGACATCTTTTTTTTTTTTTTTGGCAGTTGGGGTTAAGTGACTTGCCCAGGGTCACATAGCTAGTAAGTGTCAAATGTTTGGTCTGAGGCCCGATTATTTGTGGGACATCTTGATAGTCTTGAGGAAGATAATTATAACCTTTCATTAACATACTGCCTAGGGACCTTCCTTAGAATAGCAAAGGTCTGGCAGGAAGGACATAGGAGAGCAGGGCATAAGCTGGTTCTTAGAATCAAGAAATTGAAGAATTATAACCATGCCTATGAATGGTACTTGTGGACTACTAGTTGTATGAATATGGATATTATTTAAAGTTTCTGAGAATTAGTTCACTCATCTATAAATAGGGATTACAATAACGTACTACCGATTTCACAGTGTTGTCAGGATCAAGTGAAGTAATACATGGAAAATTCTTTATACACTTTGAAAAGTGATATGTAAATATTACTTATTGATATCATCAGGTACCTAGGTAGTGCAGTGCACAGAGTGCTGGGCCTGGAGGCAAGAAACCTCATCTTCCTGAGTTCAAATCTAGCCCCAGACACTAGCTGTGTGACTCTGGGCGAGTCACTTTACCCTGTTTGCCTCAGTTCCTCATCTGTAAAATGAACTGGAGAAGGAAATGACAAATCACTCCAGTATCTTTGCCAAGAAAACTGCAAATGGGGTCACAAAGAATTAGACATGACTAAAAAGGACTGAACAACAAATTGACATTATCATAATTATCATCATCATCATCATCAGTCAGGGTTAGGAAGAGTTGGTGTGACATGCTGTCAAGACACATTGACAACCAATAGATGAATGTGCTTATGAAAAGCCTTCATTGTAAAAGGAGTTTACATACTTCTCATCCAACTGTGGCACCTTAAAAAAATTAAATATGTATTGGGACATTTAAAACTTTACCAAAAAATGCAGAAAGTCAGAAATATTAAACACATCATATTGTCCCTACCACAGGACAATAAAAATATGTTCAATGAAGGATCTTTGAGGAAAGAGTTAAAAATTCATTGAAGACTAAATAACCCCAGAGATTAAAAAGAACAAATAATAAAAAATTCTATCAGAGAAAATTACAACACTGAGACAATATACCAAAACTTATGATTCGACTAAGGCAGTCCTTATAGGAAAGTTTATATATTTAAAATGCTTTCATTAACAAAAGAGAGAAAGAACAAATCAATAAACTGGGAATGTGACTAAAAAAACTAGCCAAATCATGCATTTCCCCTGCACTGCCAATACTAGTGGATGTGCTTACAGGGTCCTGCCACAAGTGGGTGCTATAAAGCCACTTTTGTACTCATTATGTACTCATAATAACAATAATAACAACATTTTATGGGCCTTTAAGGTCTGCAAAGTGCTTTTCATACATTATCTCATTTGAGCCTCACAATAACACTTCAGGTAGGCACTACCAACTTAATTACTCTCATTTTGAGAATTAGTTGCTAATTGATTTATGAAATTGTGAAATGGGGCCAGCACGCCTGGGTCTTTGGATACTCACCAGGAAAGGCCATGATGGCAGAGGGGAATTGAGGCTGCGATCACACTTTAATAAGGCAAAGAGGTGCAGGAGGAGGAGCAGGCATGGAAAGTACAAAGACAAGCAGAGAAAAGGGTCACGGAGGCAGATGTGAGGGGACAGGGGATGGTGTGGTGATGGAAGGCAGGGAGGAAGGGGAAGGAGGAAGAGAATGGGAAGGGGATGAGTTAATTACATACTGGTGGATGGGAGTTCACAGCACTGGAGCAGTGTGGGCCCTTAGCTGATGGAAAATCACTCAGAGGGCAACAGTGTGAGGTCACAACAGTGTGAGGTCGCATTTTGGGTAACACACTAATACTTATCTGTGCCACCTTAGGGCTTCATTAACACATGCAAATCATTTCATACTTGTTGGTTAGACTTGAAATTTAACATATCCATGTCATCTCAGAGTTATTAGCACTATTTGATGTTCTGCTGGTATTACTGCAGATGTCTGGAACTTATCTGAATTTTTCATATCATGGGACCGAAAGACCCCGATAACAAAGCCTACATGGCTTCCCCTCAGCACATATTACCAGGCTGTGATTTTCAGTTAATACTTGATATATTTGTAAGTTATGCTCCTTTGATCTTTGGGATGGTCTATGAGTGACATAGATTCCTCTTTGCAATCTGACTTCCTACTATTGCCCCTTCTATACTGGCTACTTATAAACCTACTTATTATACTAACTAGAAGCAAGGTAGGGTGGTCAGGGGAACCAGAATAAGATACAATTTTAACACAAGAAGATGAAGAAACTGAGGTTCAAAATAGGTTCAAAGATTGATTCCTGGTCATATCACTAGTAAAAGTCAGAGGTGGGATTTCAACCTATGTCTCACCTGAGTGAGTCTAAGTTCAGTGCTTTGCCCACTACCCTACCTTGTCTCTTATATACTTGTGTGTGGGAAGGAGCCTTAGTCATCGTATGTAAAGCTTTGCTCAGCTTTAATCTTTGGGTCCCCCCTTCCATTTTACAGATGAACAAACTAAAGCCCAAAGAAATGAAATGACTTGTCCAGGGTCACGTAGCTAGTGTCTCAGGCAGGGCTTGAACCCAGGTCTTCCTGACTCCAAACTCAGTGTAATATATCCACTGTATCATGTGTCTCTCTAGGGAAGTTTCATAGACAAAAACGAGTTAATTAGATGACCAATGTCCAGGGAAAGTGCCTCTCATCCAAGTTAGCACCAGCACTTCTACTATACAGCATTCAATCCTCCAGTACCTAAGATTTCCAAAGCACAGTGTAGCACAGTGGAATGAGTTCTCGATTTAAACTCACATGACTTGGTTTGACTACTGGCACTACTACTTACTCTCTGTATGATCTTGTGTCTCAGTTTTCTCACTTGTAGAATGAGGGGACTGGCCTAGGTCCCTGTCAGCTCAAAATCGATGACCCTATGATCTTATGAAGGTCATACCTTTGTTTTATGTTTTGTCCTAGACTCAGAGCAAGATGACCATAAAGTCTTTGCTGAAGACTATTCTGAGCATGCCTCCTCACTACCGCTATCTGTGTGTCAGTCACCTCATTGGATGGACAGCTTTCCTTTCCAACATGCTCTTCTTCACGGATTTCATGGGACAGGTAACACTGTCATTCACTCACACAGACCAATCAGTCAGCAAGTAATTGCTGAATTCTTACAATTCTATATTTTGTTGGGGATATAAAACAAGATGTAAGAAAACAAGGCATAAGTCCTACCCTCCAGGAGTCTTCTGGGGAAATCACTTCAAACAACTCAGGAACACACTCAACAGTATTGTAAATAATCCATCCAAGGAACAAACATTAAATCCAGTTTGAGGTCAGTTATGAAGTTCAAATAGGTATCAAGAAATGAACTTGAATTAATGAAAGAATGAATGAATGAAAAAGCATATATGAAGTACTTGCGATGTTCCACATACTGTGTGAAGTGCTAGATACAGAAACACAAGCCAGCAAGACAGTTCCTGCCCTCAAGGATCTTAAGTTCCAATGGGGGAAAGACAATACATTATTGGTGGCCTAGGAGGAGTATTTTGAATAGCAATGTCACAAAAGTCATGTTGTGAGTCATAGGACAATTGATTTTACATGCCTTCCAGGTATTTATTCAATTACTGTCACAGAACTAAAGTTAGAAAATTAGGAGAAGAGCAGGAGAGAAGGGTATAGGAGTATGGCAGGTTGAGAATGACTGAGAAGTGGCCAATGTGTCTCTATGTAATTTATCATATTCTACGTGCTCAGTGTGCCTGGGCCCTCTATGTGCGATGTTAACCCTACTGCCTTGTTTTTCCAAATTAGTTTCAGCTGTGAACAGCTCCCAGCCTTTTCCAGGTTTTCCTACATGCAAAGTAGTTGAATCTGAATGGTGATAATCACCATTTCTCTCCACAGGGTTTTTCTTAGACTTTATGGAGCAGCAACAAGGGAAAACCCCTCCCCAGCTCCATGGTAGAAAAATGGTGATTAGAATCCCAGGTTTTCTCATTTGGAAAATATTCTTCCTAATCTCATCAAGTACTAGAGATAACCCCAGTGCCATTGTGAGTCTGAAATTTCTTTGATGAATGTGGGTATGCCCATTGATGACTTTTCAAGAGGACAAGATAAATCCTGATTGCTTTTCAGAAATTATGGCCATCCAGAAAGTGATGGCTATGGGGACTAAATAGGCTGGATTCTGGTCAGAGGAAGCTTGTCTCTGTATGACCTTTTCCTTTGTGTCTTCTTCCTTGTGTATAGTTAGAGGAGAAAAAGGATTTCTTTCTCTTTCATTCACTAATTATGCTAGGGATAGTCAATGATGACTTGAGAAAGAATTTTCCTAGCCTAAGAGATGACAGAAGGGATGGAGTTCCTGCAGGAACAGACATAACTGTCTACTGACCAGAAAGGGGGAGTTCATGGATAATCTTCCCATATACCAAACTCCTGGGTTGTAGTTGGAGAATTTTTATTCGATAGGCTATCTTGCTTATCTCAGAATCTAGTCTCCCATTCAGAGAAGGGAGATTTCCAGATTGACTTCAGTGTTGGCTGTTACCTCATAAGTAACATCAAAGTTCAAGAGGTCAAATGTCTGGCTTTCTAGAGAGAAGTACAGTCCCTGAGCAGCATTCCCCATGGAGAAAGAAGAAGGATTGCCCATGTGTCCTTTGTAGTGAGAGGATTAATAAGGGTTGAAGCCATATTGGAAGGAGGGGAAGGGGGATCAATCAATCAACAAGCGTATGTTAATTAATTGCCTAATTTTGTGCCAGGTACTGGACATACAAAGACAGAAATGAAATAGTCTGTGCCCTCAATGAGCTTATAGTCTAATAAGAAATTAGTAAATCAAGACCTTGCCGCGCTCCCCACTTAAACAGAGTTGTTTAGACAGTCAGTGCAGGTCTAGTGGGAAAGAGATTTACTTTCTAACAGCTCCAAAGTATGTTTTCCTTCTGGGGGTTATTTAGCTGCCCTAAAGTGTGATTGCCTTTTGGGGGATCTGAACCACTGGGCAGCTGTATGAGCCAGGGAGGGATTTGTAGGACTCCATAGGAAAGTGTGACTTAGCAGAATGTCAAGGGATTGCCCTACTGGCAATGCTTTTTTGGCAAGTTCTTTTCTGAGGAGAAGCTTATGGGCTATTTCTATGTGTTCTCATTTTGTTCATGGGCTCCTGTTAATTTTTTATACCTTCTGCATTTTCTCTGGAGTGAAGTAAAAGCCATTCTCTACCCATATACACTTGCTTCCTTTAGTACTCATATTGGAGTGTTTTTACCCATATTTGTGGAAAAAGAGACATAAATCTAGTTGGAGGTCTCTCTGGAAGAAATTCTGGGTGAAGACAAGAAGTAGAAAAGATTAAATGATCTTTTTGGGTAAGCTAAAGTGATCAGATCTAATCCTTGGGAACCCCAGAGTTCTGGCAATTGAAGTTATGACCAATAACATGACCTAGGCCGTGGGTTATGTCTGTGAGCTTCAACAGTCTTGAGGAGTCAGGAAGACCTAAGTTCAAATCTGGCCTCAAACACTTACTACTTGTGCAACCATGGACAATAACCCAGGGGTGGGGAACCTGTGGCCTCAAGGCTACATTGTGGCCCTTTAGGTCCTCAAGTGTGGCCCTTTGATGGAATCCCCACCTAGAGATTGAGTCAAAGGGCTACACTTGAGGACCTAGAGGGCCACTGGTGGCCTCAAGGCTGCAGGTTCCCCACCCCTGACTTAACTAACCTCTTTCTGCCTCAGTTTCTTCAACTGTGAAATAAAGAAAATAGGACCTACCTCCTAGGATTGTTGAAAGGTTCAAATGAATTAATGTTTATAAAGTGCTTAATACAGTGCCTGGCACATAGTAGGAGCTGAATACATATTTATTTCTTTCCTTCCATCTATACTTTTGATTCCTTAGAAGTTATAGCCGTGATTTGTAGCCATAAAGTATCAATAGTAAAACACTGTTTTTATAAAGATGGACTTTTGTGTCAGGGAGCATGTTGGGCTTACTGAAAATGCTGTTCAGTTTCCCAGATGTATTCTGGTTCACTGTTCTTGTCCTGTACGTGGATGGGCCCACGTTATTGCCACTTGTTATGCCTGTCTAAGACACATTATAGTGTAGGAGAATTCATACGAAGAGCACTGGCCCCCAGAGGTGGTTTTAACAAACTTTCTTGCTGCTCACAAGGGTCACAGCTGCCAGCAGGGACAGTTTCAGTGTCAGTCCATGACAGAAGTGAGCAGCACATGGTGGGGTAAAAGGAATCCATGCTCAGGGATCGATATAATATATCATTTGAGACAAAGAGATAGTATGATACCAATGGGAGACTGCTCTATTATCTCTAGGACCAGTAAAGAGAGAGTATTTTCTAAATTACCGACAAAAAAAAATTGATTGTGAGCTCCTTCAGGGCAGGGACTACCTTTTGCTTCTTTTTGTATCTCCAGTGCTTAGCACAGTGCCTGGGACATAATAGGCACTTAATAAATGCTTATTGACTGATTGACTAAAATAAGGAGGAAGGAATTCAGAGCAGGGAATTATGAATGAAGAGCTGAGAAGCAGGAAACTTAACCCTAACATTACTGTTGTAGCAAAAGGCTAAAATGGGGGTATTAAGGCTAGACCAGTTAAGTGAGTTTTCACTGGTTGACACACAACTGGAGGAACTCAGTAGGTTATTTCATATTCTAATCTGGG